CATTGGCTCTCTGTGTCCATCCACATGTCTGCAGATGATTCCCATCACAAGATATCAAAGCACCAGGGTGTGTGCTAGGAGGGACTAATGAATTAATGACACATAATCCCAAACTCCACTCAACTCAAGACCAGCCAAGTCCTGTCCCCAGCTTCAGCAGCCACCACACACCGGCCTGCCTTCCCCTCCATGGAAAGAAAAGCCAGAAGTGCTCTAACATCGGCTGAGCGGGCTCGGTGGCCCCCGCCATGAAGCTGCTTCCAATTTGGGAGCCTCACCAGATCTGTGAGGAGCTTGTCCATTTCTAGTTCACAGCAGGGCAGAAGGAACCACGATATTTCTCCTCTGGGCGGCCAGTCTGAAGGGGTGAGTCCGCCTTCTAATTGCAGCCCTGTCGGAGCCAGTGGAGGGGCGCAAGGGTCACAACGCTTTAGGCTTGGGGGTCGCCGCTTTAGACTTAGGGGTCATGGTTAGGCCAGAGGTGCGTGTCTAGATTCGGTTCCTGGGAGCCAGCAGCAGCAGAAACGCAGGGCATGGGGAGCGTGCTAGGGCACACGACCTCAGGGTAAGTGCACCACCAGGAAGGACTGGGGCACGATTCTCCAGAGGGACCTCTGCTGTCCCTCTGCTGTCGTCTGGTCCTGGATACTAGTGGGCAGCCTCATTCCACCTCCTACTGGCTCTAAGCGTAAAATCGGTACAATGCTGAGAGCAAGTAGAGGCCAAAGCAGAATCCACTGCAGAAGGTGGCCCCAAGAAAGACATTGTAGGCGCAGGGCAGTGGGTTACCCTCGAAATTGCAGTAACTTTGTCGCAGCGTCTGGTCGATCATGATGGCCATCAAGGCGATGTACAGTGCAGCCGCCAGCAGGTCGTGAATCTCGTTGACCCGCCACCAGTGTTTGTAAAACAGCGAGATGAAGAAGAGGATCAGGGTCATCAGACAGAAGAATGCAGACATGAAGAGTGCGAAGTACACGGGGCCATGGAACCCGCTCTTGGAGGTGAGGATGATGAAGGCAGCCCCAACCAGCAGTTGCAGCAGCCTCAACATGGCCACCGGGCTGTACAGGTAGCACCAGTTCAAGTTCATGGTCCCGGGCTCCGTTCAGCAGTGGCCAGAGCAGTGGAATAGCGGCCCAGCAGAGATGCCCTCTACTCCTGCTGTGGCCTCAACACTACCCTAAAAGTTCTTATCACTTGTTCTCTCCTCTCCACCCTTCCTTCTCTCCTCCCTCCAGCCCTCCTATCTTTCTCTTTTCCTCTCTCCACCCCACAGACCCTCCCTTTCTCTTTCCCCTCCACTCTCTCCACCCCGACTCCCTCCTCCCAGCGTCTTGCTATCTTCTTTCTCTCAGGTCACACTGGCACCCCCGCCTTGTCCCTCTGATCCAAACTCCCTGCTTAGATTCCATAATCCTAGCGGAGGGGCTTGTGAACCCCCTAGTCCTTCCTGGGTCTCCCTGCCTCTCTGCTTGGTGAAGTTTGCCACATCTAGAGCAGCCGAGCTTGCCCTCTTGGGCTCTAGTCCTGCCTGGGAGCTGAAGCTGGCTACATGAACGCCCTCCAGTATGTGGCTGGGGCCCTTTCTTTCTGCTTTCTCCTTTCTTGGCATCCACCAGGACCTCCTGGCTCTTCCTTGGTGTGAGAGGAGAGCAGAACTGGTGTTGAATTGGCATTCATTCTCACGTAGGCATCTTGAATATCCTCCAATATCTGCAACAAGAGGGCAGATGGGGTACACGTGCAGTGAGGAGCTCCGTCAGCAACAACACAGAATACCAGACCAAGCAGGCTCAGGGGATATAAAGGGATATTTAGAAGCCTGGAAGGCTTACAGCTAGGGAAATTTGTAGCAAAATCAAGAAATCCATTGATTTCTAACATAAGAGGTTCAACTATTCTGGGAGCCATTATCTTGGGAGAGACCAAGTTGGGGCAGGGAGATCAGAGCAGCCACAGACGTATGCCTGACAGAAGCGCAAAGATACAGGTGTGGACATTCTTTTTTGGTATCTGTTCATTGGTCTCTCTGTCTGCGCACCTCCATTCTGGTGACTAGAGGGGATGCCTGAGCAAATGGATACCCAACCCACATCCCTGGAGGGTTCTACTACGCATGTGCACAGATCTCCACAAAATGTAAAGTTAAATGGCCACCACTCTTCTGTCTGTTTGTCCTACTGAGGTGGTTTGTGAGTTGCTGTGATTCTGAGGACTATGCCACAGGTATTTTAAATACCATCAGGGTCATCCATGGAGGACAGGTTTCAGATGAGCTTCCAGATGAAGACAGACTGGTTCCGAATATTTAGTTACTGAAAACCTTATAAATAGCAGAGAAACACTGTCAGATATAGTGCCAGAAAATGAGCCCCTCAGGTTGGAAGGCACTCAAA